CATCACCTCTTCACTGCCTCCAGCTACATCAAATGCCCACCACAGCTGGTGGAATGAGCATTGTCTTCCAAATGTATATGTGGTACTTACCAAACAGTATTTCAGCAATTTTATTCATTTCTGTGCAAAAGCACATGATTAAAATAGACAAATATAATATCCATACAGAAATGCAGGAGGGAGAATGGTAAAAGAATGGAACTGAGAAGGAGAATATGTTCCTCAACTGAATATGGGATTATTTTCTGTTCTGGATGAATCACTTTGTGATTGTGTTAGCTTCTCCGCTGTTGTACTGGAAAACATTTGTACTGAATCATCATGTTGTCCAGTTTCAGAGAACTGAGACAGCAGAACTTTTGGGTTGAGGTTTTGGTAATTCATTCACCTGGGAGGAGATAACTATTGGTCCCACTGCAAATACAGCAAAGGGTATGAGTGAAATTGGTTGTGACAAAGTAACAGTTACAACCAGTCTGAGCTAATTGCCTAGTGGGCTACATGTGCCTGGGGCTTTGACCCTGCCTACTTTTTGGACTGGCTCCAGGACTTTCCTCTGAATCTGGTTACTTGGTCTTACTCCTTGAACCTTGACCTAGCCTGTGTTCTGGAGTTTGTCTAGGGTTTCCCTTTGAAAACTGGTAACTTGATTCCCAAACTCTGACTCATCCTGTGTTTTAAAGTATGTCCCCAGCTCCTGCCTTCTCTCAGTGGCCTAATCACTAGAATACCTATGACTTGGTCCATTTCAATATTAAATGCTGGCACACATCAGCTATTATATGCAGCATCATGTTTGGTAAATTTAGAGAGCTGAAATTAACTTTAGAGAATTTTAGAAAAAAAACACTCATTTTAATTTCCCAGCTCATTAAGCACCTTGTTGTCCTGTGTCAGAAATTCTTCTGAGTGAGATTATTTTAACTAGACTCTGAAATTCAATAGTTACCTTGATCATCTCTCATAGATGTTCTGCCTCAAAGTCTCCTCTTAAAATATTCTAATTGCTGAAACAGTCACCCTCTTTTAAATTTATCATGAAATTTTGATGGGGACAATTCTGTCCTGGTCCCAAAGTAGATAATCAATCAAACTTGTACACAATTCCTAGATACAAACTAGGGAGGGTGGGCAAAGTGGGGTAGGATAGTCAAAAGTGACAACATTTCACTCCCTGCAAATCTGAAGAGGTTAAGTTAAGGAGGTGGAAGTGCCTGTGGAGGTACCACAGCCATTCACATCTGACATAAGCTTTGCCTGCCTGCTTCCTTTTTTGGGTCTCTCACTTTCAGTCAATCAAGATACACACCTCGTGAGATGGAGAAGTAAAATACTAGTTCAATATAACAAAATATTTAAGTATGTATCTGAGTCCATCCTTAATCAAGAAAGTACTTAAGCACAAGTATAACTTCAAGCTTACTGAAGAAGGATGTGCTAATGAAACAAAGTTTGCATGAATAATGGAGCTGGTTTATCTAATAGGTCTAATGGCCACCACAGCAAGCACCAAAGTTAATTCTGGTTAACATGATTAATTCTGTGGCTGATATCTTATTTCTTAGTTTAGCATTCAAGTTGCTTTTTAAGGTTTTTTGTTTAAGCACAGCTACTCTGAGGTCACCAATAGAAAGTCCATTTATGGTAAAGTGTTAGAAAAACCACATGCTTTTGTGTCTTTGTAGAACTGATGTTGAATTGATGTCTGTTCATTCTTTTACATAGAGATTTCCCTGTCTGGATAATGTAGCTAGCAAAGACTGCCAGTAAGCAGGTGATGTCATATATGACATTAGTGGAGGAACAGATGCATGAATCCCAAATGCTGCAATTTGTGCTGACTGGTCCAATGATGCTGTGGTCTGTGTTGATGAGGGGGCACATTTAACATCTGGGTCTGTAGCATGTCCTGGTGAATTTTCAGAAATTGAGTTAGGTAGTCTGTTGTTGGAGAGAGGTTGCTTGAGGTTAGGGGGATGCCTCTAATGCAGGGCAGGCTTGTCGTACAAGATGACTTTGAGATGTTCTTCATTTTCCAAGAGGGGTTGTAGGTCATTTTCATAGATTTCATAGACATCAGGGCTGGAAGGGACCTCAGAAGATCATCGAGTCCAGCCCCCCACCCAAAGGGCAGGAAATCAGCTGGGGTCATAGGATCCCAGCAAGATAAGCATCCAGTTTCATCTTGAAGGTGTTCAATGAAGGCGCTTGAACCACCTCCGGTGGCAGGCTGTTCCAGACCTTGGGGGCTCGGACAGTAAAGAAGTTCTTCCTTATGTCCAGCCTGAAACGATCTTGAAATAGTTTGTGACCATTAGTGAGGTATGGGGCTGTAAGTAACAGCCGGAGGTATTCTGTTGGCCTGTCACAGGGATGGTGTCATAGTGGGTCAGAGCAGGATCTGAGTCTGGCTCCGATGATTTGCATAGCTGGTTTTGGGATTATTCTCTAATGGTGCCTGTAGACACCACAGGTTTTATTCCTCATTAAATTAAATGGGTTTATACAACTTAAACTTGTTTATTTTGGAGTATCACATCTGTGTTTACACGCAATAGGCTTTCAAGCAAATTAAGCCGGGTCCCTGGCTGGCACCACAGGAGAGCAGGACAGTCCAGTGCTGCACCCCTGGCCTGGGGCCCCCCACCCACCGGGTGCCTATGACCTGCCACACAGCTGTGGAAGCAGGAAGCTAGCAAACAAGAAGAAAAAAAAGCCACACAAGAAAAAAAGAGTGGAAGCAATTTGAAAGCAAAAGCAATTTGAAGGGGTGAACGACAAAAAAGTTACAATGCCATCTGGTGGACAAAGAAGCTCATTGCATGTCTCTGAGTGCCTTTGTTTTTGCATGCAACAAATCCATGGACATGATGCTTTAATTCCCAGTGAGCCAAACCAAACTATATCTGAGGAGTTTTAGTTTAATGCACAAGAAAGAAATTTAAAACATAGGCATATCCTGCTTGTGCAAACAGATACACTGTTGCAGCACATGAAAGGGCAAAAATTATGGCATGTATGTGAGCCCTAAGTGTAGGAAACCTGTTCTAGATCCCTAAGGTGTTCATCCTGGTCCTATAAGATACATCTCTTGGCATGTTTAGGACAGAAGCTAGTGATATAGCTATAGAGGCCAGCTATACACTGTGAAACATTGCAAACTTTCACAATGGTGTCCAAGAAATGAATTTTCTGGGTGGAGTATTGAAGAGTTAGTATGATGGAGGAATGGTTACTAAACTCCCAGTAGATTTTTTTCCCTAGTAATTTCTTCCCATGTGTCCCCATAAAGGTAATGTCATCAAGGTACCTCAAGTATGCCAGGGGAATGCGAGGGCAGCTGTCTCTTTAAACCAGTTAGTCCCTAAGGTGCCATCCTGTCCTGCTTTCTTTCTGACTTTAACATGGCTACCAACTCTGATGAAAACAGTGATGGTCACTGTGGAAAGAATTCTGACTACCAATTGCTATGGGAGATCTGTGTGCAACATTTCTCTTCATTAGTCAGAGGAATGTAGTTAGTTAGCAGAAGACCACAGTGCATGCATTTCTGAGCCAAAACAATAAGTAGTACTTTATTTTATGGTTAACTTGATAGACTGTTGTCTAGACTCTAACTTGTATGAAATGCTGCCACCAGTATTTTAACTCATATAAAGCAGACTCAGCATGTTACTTCAGCTTTTGGGAGCTTCCTAGGCTCTTTGTCAGATATCAATTTGCACTTAAAAGCTCTCTAATGACTTGGAAAGTAGTGAGCAATTTGGGACCTGTGTATTTTCTGGGTTGCAGTCTCCATACAAACCTGCTAGCTGCTTAAGATCATCTCCCAAACCAGTGCACTGGCTATTTTAAAATTGGGATTTATTCCTGTGTGAATTTTGCAATGTCACCTCAGGAGACCAATTGAAATCTAAAAGTATATTCTCTCTTTTAACACTAGCTTATGATCCATAATGGCAGAACACTTTTGCATTTTTATGTTTAGTTTTATTGTAAAGTGCCTTGGGATGCATTTGCATGAAAGGCACTATATAAGCTCATTTTGTACTGCATTGTATTGTATTGTGACAAGTGCAATAATCTCCAGGTTTCCTATCCATTAAAGAACTCATTTCACAGCTCACTAATTATGTGAATGAGAAGGGGAAATAGGTCCTTTTCCTCTAAGGTATACTGAGCAGATGGCATAGAGTTCATTTGTACCAGCTGAGTCTGTGAAGTCTTCTTCTGTTTTGGTGGCAAGGCTTTCCTCTGTTTATCAGGTGTAGTAGAAGAGGCATATTAGTTTCTTAAAACATCATTACAGAATATACTGAGAAGCTGGCTCAGTACTGTTGGTAGAACAAGACTAGTTAATCTATTCTGGGTCTGAACAGACTGTTTATTTCAAAGGACACAAGATAGCAATTAAAATGATGCATCTGTGTTTCAGCGTAATTCTAAATTCTCTCATTTATAGGGGATATTGGTCAAGTCAACCCTAGGGATTATGCTTACACCTGAAAAAGTGATTGGCAAATATGCTGAACACCTTTGAGATTTTATTTTTTTCCATAATTATAAAATGGAAATAAATGGATATTTCTATGCTCTCTGTACTTTTTAGCTGAGGCCTTTGCTAATTTGTCATTATTCTTCTCAGTCAAGGGAAAAACTTGTTCACTGACATATACATGTATAGTGTGATTTATACAGGCTCCTAAGGTACAGCTTTTTTAATATAAAAACAAGTTATCATAGATGTCAGTGCTCCACAATGGCTGTGGATAGCTGGTAATTGGGCCCTTATTTCAGGATTAAAAAAAGAAAAGCTGAGACTGAAGAGCTTGACGTTTCTGGTGTATGAACTTGGTAACCAGGTTGCTTTTGACAGTATTGCACAAGCAGTCAAATTGTTTTCTCTTTGCATCGTATTGAACAGCAGGACAGAATTTTTTTCCCTCTCATTCCTGTCATTCAATTTTATGTTCACTGCACTGATTTCATTCTAATTTCAGACGGATGCTGCTTTAATGTATGATGCAGTTCATGTGGTGTCAGTGGCTGTCCAGCAGTTCCCACAGATGACTGTCAGTTCATTACAGTGTAATCGGCACAAGCCATGGCGCTTTGGGACCCGCTTTATGAGTCTCATTAAAGAGGTATGTCACTAATAAAATATGTTCTGCTTCCCTACTTTTCCTCCCTTTCTTCATATTCTCATTCTGCTCTGATTCAGATTTTTTTTTCCTAGCAGGTGGGTCTCTTTCTGCTTTTTGGTATGTGGGGAAACTTGCAGTCATGGCAGTATATGTAGCTGAAACTCTTCCTGCTGCAGGAGAAATTGGGAACAATTTATAAATATAAAATAAATACAAAAGAGTGACAGATCTGCACTACAGACAAACAAAAAGAAATATTTGGTTGACAGTTCTGTGATGTTAGAAACCATCATAGAAGCAAATATGTAAAACACAACAATTAAATTCTGGCTTGTGTTCCTGTCCCATCCAGGCCAACTTTTCCTATTTGTTTTCTGGTGTTTATTCTGTTTGTCCCTGGATTGTTTTCTATCATAAATATCCATTATTTACATGTTTTCTTTTTTTATGGAAGGGCAGTTTCTCCTGGATTTTTATTTAAAATGTAATAATGATACAATCATGGATTATTAGAACACTGAAGATCAGCACTACGCAGGATTCAGTATTTTTGGCCCATAAATGTCTGGCTGCCACTACTGTATTTCCCATTTCCATCATATGAAATACTAAGGTATCAGTAATACATCTGGGCAGTAAAATCACTATTTTAGTGATGCATACTTTCAAGATAATAACTGGTCTTTGGACAACTCTTCCTTTTGAAAAATATAATAGGTGATGGAGACTATGTAATAAATACAAATTAATAGTCCTATTATCAATGATGCTATAATTTGGCTCTACCACTTATGAATGACATGTCATCTCTAAGCCATGAGAAAATAACATATTGTGCATTTTTAAATAAAGGAGAGAGACTTCTGAGAGGTAGTCATTCAGACAATGTCCCGTTGTGCATTGACATTTGGTTCTGTTCCCTGGGGATGCCTATGCCCAATGCGCACTCAGGCAGGACAAGTTACCCCGGGTGGGGTAGGGGAGGCTGGGGCGAGCACTGGGGAGGCAGTACTGCAGCAGTGGAAATCCTGCCACACGGATCCTGACCAGCAGCGAAGCGCAGCTCCAGCTGGCCAGGTTCTGGCTTTGGGCAGTGCACGCTGCCGCCACGTGCACCACTCTGACTTTTTTCTCCACAGGATTTTTTGACCCCTGGATATCCAGCAGTCAAAAAAAACCTCCCTCCCCGCTGCTCCCTTGTGGTGCAGAGAACAATGGCATGTGCAGTATAGTGCACAGCCATGCGCATCTGGAGGTGGCCCTAGTGTCTTCAATGTCAGTTGTCCCAGTGAGATTTTAATGATTCGGCACCTTGAGCCACACATGAAATATTCTTAAGACATCATCCTAGACAAAAGAAACAAGCCAGCCTATAGGGGAGGGAATAAAATGGAAATTGTAAATATTGAAATAACTTTTTATAGAAATATCCTTTTATCACCCTAAGTGAAACCATTTTATGGGCTAAAATAGAGAGCTCTTAAGAAATTGTGTGGAAAGATTAAAGAAAGTTTGGTTTAATTAGCAAAGAACCCTAAGAATCTCAGAAGTGCATATGAAATGATTTTTTTAAAACCAGCCACAAGGTAAATTATTTAAATGTAATGAATAATTAACTATCCCATTTTCAAACATTAATTTGTTCTTTCTATTATTCTTATTTATGGAAATTATTATTGTCTTCTTTTTCTATAGGCCCACTGGGAAGGCCTCACAGGCAGGATAACTTTTAACAAAACCAATGGCTTAAGGACAGATTTTGATTTAGATGTGATCAGCCTCAAGGAGGAAGGTCTTGAAAAGGTAGGTAAGATGATCAGTATATTTACTGAGAGTCATGTGAAATATAAAAAAATATATATATATTTCCTGGGAAAAGGCTATTTATACAAGGTTATACCATCACGTTACATTGGATATAGGGGCACATTTGTGTGCTTATGAAAAGTCACATTTCATGAATACCCTGGGGGAAAAAAAACCTTTATATTTATGATGACTAAAATAAATTGCTCATACTAAATTAGGATGTAGAGGTAAAACATTGCTTACACCACTTCAAGTATTTTACTTTGTGCAACAGGTACAATTCATATCCACAAAGAGATTACAGAACACAGTCACCAGACACAAATATAAATAAGCAAATCATTAGTACAAGACAAATGCCAAAAATGAACAGGTAGCATTTTAAGTGTAACAAGTTAAAATTCCTATGAAAAAATCACAAATGTATATTCAGTAGAAGAGGGCTGATTATATTTATGGGTGAAATTATAGAACTCTGGAGTAATAGAAAGATAACGATGAATGTAAAAGGATTCTGTGTATTTATATTAAGTTTCAACAGCTTTCTGGTGTAAAATAGTAAAGTCAACTGGTGCAAAACACATGGCCAATATTCAAGATTCAAAAGTCGTCAAAGATTCAGATCAGAGATGGCTACATATCCATTGATTGCAGTAGGGGCAAGATTGAATCCCAGTTTTTCAAAATAATTCTGAGAACTAAAAGAAATCTCTAGTTTTTCAGCAGAAGGACAGAACACAGCTTCTGAAGAGAGCTCTTTCATGCCAAAGACTTTTGAAAACACTTTAACTTATTTAAATGCTTAGTTTCAATGGAAGATTATGGTTATGAGATACATAAATTCATTTGAAAATCTGCCCCATTAGCCAAGTCCGAAACAGGTGTTAATTGTGATGTAATTCAGCTGGATTTCAGAGAGGCAGAGGAATGTACATACCACATTTTTTCAGGTCCAGAATTTTTCCCATGGGCTAAGTACAGACAGACAAAAAAACAGAGGCTGAATCAATCCAATCTTTGCAGGTTAGTCTAAACTGCATAGCTCGAACTGAGAACAAGCGAGCAGACATTCACTACTGATTCTAGAAATTGTGCCACATGCCTGCAGTGGTTCAGGTGAGAAGTTGCGGGGTGCTAGAGCAACTGCCAAAGGGAAAGGAGGAGAGAAGCCCTCCAAGGCTTTCTACCCTGTCCCTGCTTGAATAGAGGGGGTATGGTCAGGCCCCAGCCTGGGGTCAGCATGCTGAGGCCAGAAGAAGGGGGGCCATAAACCGCCCCCCCGACCCACATGGGACCCCAACTCTGGTTTGCCTGGGGGGAGCAGGGCATCCCTGCAAGGCTTCTGTTCCCTGCTCGAGGGGAGGGGGGAAGCCCCTGCCAGGGTTTTGGCCACTCCCTGGCCAGCGGCTCACAGGCTGAGGTGGGGAGGTCCTCCCTGGCTGCATGGGACTGTGCAGCCTGGGTCTACCTTGGGGGGAGGAGGGGACAGCCCCTAGCTGGACCCCACCCCCTGCTCAAGGGGGAGCCATGGTTATACCCAAGCCAGGGGCTCACAGGCTAAGGTCAGGAGGGAGAGAGTTTAAAACTCTCCCTGGTCCTGGACCTTAGCCAGGGTTTGCCTGGGGGTGCAACCCCTTCCTGGTTTTTCCCCTGCTCCCTGCTTGAGTGGAAGAGTGTGTGTGTGTGGGGGGGGGGAGGGGCTGGTCAGACCCTGGCCAGGCTGGCATACTGAAGTGGAGGGGAGGTGAGAGGGCTTTAAACCCCCTCCACCACCTGCAAGGGAACCCAGCAGCCCCTGCCTGGCTTTTCACCTGCTCTCCACTCAAGCAGAGGAGCAGGAGGTGTGGCCAGATGCCAGCCAGGCTGGCAGGCTGAACTGGAAGGGGAATGGGGGTTTAACTACCTCTCCCCAGCCTGCAGGCCAGGCCAGAATCTGGGAGAAGACTTGAAAGGCTGCTCCACCCCTTCCAGGCAGACCCCTAGCATGGTAAAACACTTGAGGGGCTGCTCCACTCTCTCCAGGCAGACCCTGGCTAGAATTTAGAGCCAGGTTTCCTACCCCCATCCCTTAGCCAGTAAATAGTGATACTGCTCTGGCTAGGGTGAAGAGGGGTGGGACCAACCCTGCTGTACTTGAGCAGACAGCACAGGCCAGGGCTGCAATCATCGTGGGATGCTGGGGGACTGTGAGTTAATTTGAACCAGGAAGGGGTCTGGGACAGAAGTTCCCTAAACTGGTTTCACCTAAATCAGTTAAGTCTGATACTACATCCAACCAGATTTATCTTAAACCCATTTTAGCCATTTTCTAAGCGGTTTAAGTAAATTTAAATTATGTTTTGTTACAGGTTTAAACCAGTTTCTGATCACTTAAACTGGTTTATTTGTAACTTTTGTCCCTAGCCATGAAGATAGATATATAGCATTTTTGTTACAAGTTTTGGCCTTCTTTCCCATGCTGTACATATACTATAAAGAAGTAAAGGAGAAAGGTATTAACTTTTATGTCAATGGAGCACTTCTTAATTCTTCCAAAGAACAGGGTTCTGTACAGTACCAGGCTGGGTTTGCTGTAGGTAGTTACTTCATACTTTGGTGCACTATTGATCAGAAAATGAAAGTTGTGGCTTTTCAGTTCCTCCAGGATTTGATCTCATAAATATAGGGATTTTGCAACTTGATCTGACTTAAAGTGGAAGACTGTCTTAGAAAATGACAAGAGCAGAAAAGAGAGCTAGGACCTCTGAAAATCAAACCTCTTATTTAAGTGGCTACATTTTGCAAATATGCTTGCATAGTGATACTTGATAAATCTAAATCCACTAAATATCAATAAATGATGTTAGACATCCATATTTGAGAATTTGGCACATGTCTGCAGTTCCCTGGGAGTAAGTTCTCACAGTTGGTACAAATGTACATGGTAAGTATAGACCACGGAATACATTTTCTTCCTTACTGTTTCTGATCATAAATAAGGTATGGATTGCTACTAGCAAACCACCTGAAATAAAATAAACTAGGGGTATACCAATACAGATTTTGGAGGTTGGTACTGATAGCCGATTTTTATTGCCTGATACCAGTCCAATTTCTGATACAGCTGCATGCAGCTGGTAAGTTAGTTGTGGTGGAAGGGGAGGGGGGCAGATCAATTCCCCCTGAGGTGAGGGAGGGAATGGGGCAAGGGCAGGCGCTGCCCAGCTGGGTGGGGTGGGGCATGGGACGGAGCTGTGGCTTGTCCAGGGGACACGGGGGCAGGGGGGATTCCTGTCACTGTGCTCACCCTGGGAGGGCATGATGGGGGGGGCATGTGCCCTGGGTCTGTGTGGGGCAGGGCAGGGCAGGCAGGCTGCAGCTGCAGGCGGGAGCCAGGGCTGCACTGGGCTCTTCTTGGTGGGTGCTGGGCTGGGGCAGGCAGTGGCAGCACTGCAGCCACCCCAAATTTTGCTGTAGTTCCCCCATAGCCCCACCTCTCAGCACTGCTGCCTCGTACAGCCTCAGATCTTCCTGGCATGTGGGTGGAGGTGGGGATTTGGGTTGGGGCTGTGGTGGGCAGGTGGCAGCAGCATTCAGAAGGGAGGGACCACGGGGGGGGCTATGGCAAATTTGGGTTGGCTGCAGCGCCCCCCATACTCCCACTCCCAGCACCACTGCTGCCTGCCCCAGCTCAGCCACCACTGAGAAGAACTTGGTGCAGCTTTGGTTCCAGCCCACAGTTGCAGCCCACCCACCGTGCCCCGCACAGACCCAGGGGCAAGCACCCCCCCCATGCCCTCCCGGGGTGGGAGCCACCCCCCCAGGCAAGGCGTGGGTCTGTCCCATGCCCCGCCCTGCTCTGGCTAGACAGTGCCTGCCCCAGCCCATACCCCACTCCCTCCCTCACCATGGGGGTGATGATCTGCCCCCCCATGCCTCTTCCCTCCCCCCTCCCCTTGTTCACAACTGACTTGCCAGCTGCACACAGCTCTCTGAGCTGTCTGCATGCTGTACTGAAGCTGCACGCATGCATGGGAACTTATCAGCCAAATTATTGGCCACATCAGGCCAATTTCTGATGCAGCCAATTTTCTTTATATCAGTGACAATCCGATATCCAATATTGGACGGATGTATTGGTGCACCTCTGAAATAAACCAATACCTGATATTTATCAGTTTTATACTCTTTACTGGGAGGTGCAGTAGTGCACCCTTCCAATTTTAACAGTGGAAAATGCTGTAAAAAGTTTTAAATGGTATTTATAAGTCTCTAACCTGACATGAAATTGGAGTACAACAGTTTGCAACGAACACTGTAGCTTCCTAAAGCTCCAGAGGGAACTAATAAACATTCTTCCAAGGACAGAATGCCTAAATCTTTACTGTGTAACATAAGAGAAATGGAAAGAAGCTACTTTTGGCACCAAGTAATGGGCTTTTTCATGTTTTAAGTATAACTGAAAAAGGGATTAATGTAAATAATATTCATTGCTAACCCAAATATAGCTGTGGTAGCAGCTGGCTGTCATTTTCAAAACTCAAAAAAAAAATGCTAACTGTGGATGTAGAAGCCTGACCTGAGCTACCTGTTTTTTGAAACTTTTGGCCTTAGATGATGACAGAAGTAACAACAGTAAAAAAAAAAAAGTAAAAAGAAAGAATATGTCAGCAGACAGAACTGCCGACCTTTTTACACTATATGAAAATAATAACCTTAGGGAATTAGAAGAGATCAGTAAGTGTATGGTACAATGAATTCAGACAAACTGACTCTTGAACTTCTTCTTGTAAAAGAATTAGATTGCCTTGCATAGGACTGCTCTCAAGGCCTTGAACAGGCATTCATTTTTAGAAGGGGAAATTTCTGAGAAATGTTCACTGCTGGAAATCTTGAGCCTGAAGCTGTTCCCTCTCCCCTGTTTTCTGTGTCTTTGCCAGACCTGGGTGATTCCAGTCTGGGGACTGCATAGTGAGTTGCTTTCATCTCCTCCCAGACCTGTTGCAGAGGTGACT